AGTTGGTTTCTGCTTCTCAAGTAATTGGTTTTGCTTCTCAAGTAATAGATTTCGCCTTTTTATCTCTTCTAGTTTTTCTCTATGAACCACTAGCTTATCCCTTTCAATACTGAGCCTTTCCTTATAATATTCTGCTCTCTCTATTCTCATATTTTCCAATATTCTATTTCTATTTAGAATTGGATGCTTTGTATTGGTATTAGGTGCAGATGTAGCGGTGTGGGTAACTGGAACTGGGCTGTCAGTATTCTCTACTTCTTGAGTTTCAGTCTCCTTTAGAACTACATCTGAAGTCAACGACACATTTTCAATAACTTTTGTAGCAGATAGAAGTATCTCGGGATGAATATTTCGTTTTTTTTTTGAATATACTGTCCATTTCATCTTTGAATTCAAAAAATTTTCGTCCTCTACCTGTTTTATTCTGATTATCTACGAACTTTTTGTATCCCCTTTCCAATACACGCCATTTATTTTCACAATGCGACGGGGACACATTTATATGTAAATTTTTATTTATTTCCTTGGCTATAATCTCCCATAATTTTTTTAAATTTCTTATTTGGAGAGTTCCAACCTTAGGTTTATATTTCTTATATAAATCTATTAATACTTTAGACTGATTGGTGGTCCAGACCACATAGTCTACAGTTTTAACACTACTATCTTCAACATGGTTTTCATGGTAAATAATAATTTCTTCCATATCTAAAACAAATTAGTATTTATTATAGGTAACTGCATGATAATAATAATTATAAAGATTTACCTTCCTCATTGTTTTCCATTTTTAAAGAAGAAACAATTTACTTTGTTACAGCGAATAAAATAACACAAAATTTGTTTATTTAATATAGGCAACTTGCCAGCTCGATAGGATATTGTTCCAACAAAAATCACAAACTAGTTCGCGGCTGGTTAAATTCGCACATGCGTATTGTGCAGCAGTCAGAAACTGCCCTGAACTAGTTTCTGATTCTTTGTAGGAACAAACCTAAATGTAGTGTTCTTAAATGTCTGTTCAAATTTCTTTGCAAAGTAAATACTTTTTGACAATATTTACACGTTATCGCCATATTCACCAAGTTTAAAAATATAACGCAAAAACACAACAAACAAAAACACAATTATATTCGAAAACTCTTATCAATTCGAAAAATTCGTCTATCAATCAACAACTAAATTGGTAAAATCCAATGACGTATAACAAACTATCTCGGAAACGGCAACATTGGATAACACTCATGCGCAAAGCAGGGAGCAAGACTGTGACTTTACGCTCCTAACATATTGATAGACAGGAAGTGCCATCTTGAGAGGCCACTTTAGACAAGGATAAAGAGTCTCTCTCCTTGTTTGACATCAAATTTAGTTGGGTTATGTTATTGTTTGTCCCAAATGTCACATGAAATCTTATTTATATTGAAGTTTTTTAACAATTGTGTCGCATTTTTGACTCTTATCATTAATAATTAATTAAAACTTTCTCGTCTAAGACACATTTTGAAAATATTATATAGCTACTGTTGATAAGTGTCGAAAAATTTAAATTTGGCGCCTTTGCATTTCCGGATGTGTCCGCCATCAGAGGCCACTTTTTTGGTCTCCTTTTTATAACGATTAGATTCCCTCTTTTGTCTTATTGCTCGATGGTTCGAGAGCTTAAACTGTAAATATGTCATTATAAAAGTGAAGTAAATCCCAAGTCGCAATAATAATGAAGTAAGTCCGGAGATACTTCACTTTTATTGTGGCAAAATTGCAAGAGGTTATGTTACATATTGTATCATTTCGTTGATTAATTTATGTTTACTGTTTCAAAACGAATTATAATAGCATATTATGATGGATACAGATGATTTTAGTAATTCTGATTCCGAATATCACCCTTCAAATGAAGAAAATAATAGTACTTCCGGTAAGTTTCGTTGTTGTTCATTTAGTTATTTTTATAACCTTAAAATATAAGTTATTAATAAGAATTAGGCAATCCATTGACCTGTTAAACATTGTATTTGGTTGGCACACAAAACCAACAAAACTGTCCGTAACTTTATCTACTTGTTTTTGTTAATGTTTTTTAGTGTTTTAAAGATATGTTTTATTCATTGTTTGAAAAGCAACAATAAACAAATATTATTTTGCTTGTTTTTGTCCAACATCTGGTGCTTCTAATAATAATTTCCTTAGCATTTGGTTTAAGCATATTATTGAACTACATACAATAAAAATTCCAAAAATGAAGCGAATAATATTCATACAGGATAAATAACGTATAGTTATTAGGAAAATCACAAAAATAACCTTTGTTTGCCAACCAGAGGTCACGTGGTCTGGATTGCCTAATACGGAACTATTTTGTTTATTTTTTGAGTTTTATAACTAACTATACTTGCTCAACCTTTTAAATGTGTTGTCTCCTTGTTTTAGGTACAGATTCAAGTCATGACGAAAATATAAATGATAATAATGACCAGCAAAATCTTCAAGCAGACCCTGTACCAGCTAAGGCTAGAAAAAGATCACTCAATAAAGAAAATTGGGCAGTCAACAAAAGAAAAATGTTAAGAAATAGCGGTAAAGAGTATTTAACTAAAAGAGGTATAATAAAAAATCAGAAAAAATTTGAAAATATTGATTGTGGATGTCCAAAGAAATGTTTAACGCTGTTGACAGAGGATGAAAGAAAAGAAATATTTGACTCTTTTTGGAATTTAAAAAATTATGATCTTCAAAATTCATATCTGTATGCATTGGTACAAAAATCAGCAGTCAAAAGAAAACGTCCACTAAATAGTTCACGAGCAGGAAAAAATTTTCATTTCAAATATTTTGTTAAGTCAAGTAATGAAACCCGATCTGTGTGTAAGAAATATTTTTTAAAAACATTTCAAATCAGTGATGGCAGACTGTATCGTTGCCTTTCAAAGGATGATGTGTTCCAATGTACTGATAAACGAGGCACAACAAGTTCCAGAAAACTTGATGATTCTGACATTGTAGCTCACATCGAAAGTTTTCCTTCCTATCAAAGCCATTACACGAGGAAAAATAACCCCTGTAGAAAGTATTTAAATCCAGGACTAACAATACGAAAAATGTATGATCTTTACAAAGAAAAATGTGATATTAATATGACAGAACCTAAGAAATTAAAATATTATAATAAAGTTTTCAACACAAAATTTAATTTACATTTTAAAATGCCACACCAAGACACTTGCAAAACTTGTGATGACCTTAATTTAAAGATACAGGGAGCTGGCGATGAAAATGCTAGGAAGGGATTTGAAATACAAAGAGAAGTTCACCAACGAAAGGCAGAAGCAGCAAGAGAAAGTCTGAAAAATGATTCAAAAAGAACTAATGAAGCATACATTCTAACTTTTGATCTACAGAAAGCCTTACCCTTCCCCAAACTTAGTACTTCTGTAGCATACTATAAAAGAAATCTTTATGTTTATAACTTCGGTATACATTGTTTCAATGACGATGTAGGCTACATGTTTGTCTGGGATGAAATTGAAGGCGGAAGGGGCTCTCAAGACATTTCATCATGTCTTGTAAAGCTTTTAAAAACTCATGCAGCTACACAAAACCATGTCATAATGTACTCTGATTCTTGTACCGGACAGAATAGAAACATCAAGATGGCCCTTTCTCTTTTAAAGCTTGTACAAGAACCTATTCTCAGTATAAACACAATAGACCATAAATTTTTAGTGTCAGGACATTCGTTTTTACCCAACGATGGGGAATTTGGAGTCATTGAAACCGCTAGTCGTCATCAACAACAAATTTTCAGTGCAGATCAATGGATAGACATCATAAAAAACGCAAAACGCAAACAGCCACATTTTTGCGTGACGAAAATGAAAAACTGTGATTTTTTTAGTACAGTTACCTTGGAAAATTCCATTACAAATAGAAAGAAAACGACATGTGGTTATGAGTTCAGCTGGCTTAATATTAGATGGATAAGATTTGAAAGAAATCATCCATTACAGTTTAAATTTAAAGAAACCCTTAATCCTGACACCCCATTTTACGTTGTAGATTTAACTAAAAAGAAGCAAGGACCTGAGGTTCAGTTAAACAATATTATACAAATGCCACTGTATACCTCAAAACGTCCCATAACCAGCGCAAAAAAGAAAGATATGAAAGACCTCTTACCGTATATTCCACCGATTTATCACTCGTATTATAAAAATCTTCCTACCGATATACCAACGCGGTCAAACAGCGGTAATTCTAGTGAACGTTCATCTGATGATGAAATTATGTACGATTAGCTCACAATAACAGTGAAGTAACTCCAAAAAAAATTTTTTTTTCCTATTTTTATCACAGAATTCAATATATTTTTTTCGTTTTATACTTATGATTAGAAACTTGGTCTTGTAGTGAACAATAAATAATGTAAATAACTCAATAACGACTTTTATTTTTTTTCCTGTACATCAATTTGCAAATGTCAAAATATCTACAAATTCAATTTGATGGAGTTACACCACTTTTACAATGAACGACACATATATATATATATATATATAGTATATATATATATATATATATTATATATATATATATATATATATATATATATATATATATATATATTATATATATATATATAATATATATATGTATTAATATAATTAATATTAATATAATTATATTTGTATTAATATTATCATATATAATTATTTTTAAATTTATACCATTAATATAGTTCTAATCCCCTTGTTATAATTGTGCTTTTAATTATACATAAATATAAAATTTTCTACAGTAAAAATATTTTAAAAAATGTACCTATTGTTACTACGCCCCTTAAAATATTTTTTTTTATTTATTATATATCCATAATCGAATTAATAAATAAAAAATTGATCTTTTACAGTAAAAATAATTTTACAAACTTGAGTGTTATATTCACGTTGTCGTCACATTATGCATAATTTTTACGTAATGAATGACATTTTGTAATAAGTGTTGTCTACATCTATTGTTTATTATAGGAAAAATAGTACCTAAAATAATTTTATAAAATGGTAAGATTTTGTTCCTTAAAATAGCAAATTAAAAATTCTAGTGTACGTGTAAATTCAGACGTATTTTATTAAAATTCTTAGCAATAACTTAGAAGACATGGAATTTAAAGAGAAGCACATTCCAACACAACCTTCAACAAAGGTACCAGATAGACCATTAGCAGTTTCACATTCCTCTGAGCCTCAAGCAGAGGGTGAAGTAGATCTAGACGAAGATGAAATATCTCAACAAATGACACAATCTTACAGTGAGATTTCATTTAAATCTGGTCAGAGTCCTGAAAACGAAATTCCTATGTCTTCAACACTAGAGTCACTACAAATCGGAGAGGAGGTTAAAAGACCTATGACTTTGCCCTACACAAACCCAAAACCGTTAAATTTGGAAGGCTCTGTTCACATCGAGGGAAACATGACACACTTTGTAGCAGAAGAGATTGAGCAAAAAATCAGACTGTCTAGCCCAGTTTCTAAAAAAGATACTCCAGGTATGCATTATGTATATAGAATAGGAAAATAGTGATATTTTCATTTGCAAAATATAGTTTTCCTTACTAAATTAACTTCAGGTGATTATACTCTTTTAGCCTTTTATTTTTTTTGTTTAGCTCTATTTTAAAAGGCATTCATTTCATATGCTGTTTGGGGTATAATATACTCTGTAGAGATAGATATAAATGTGTTACATTTTTAACTTTATAGTATATCAGCATTACAGATAAGCATACAAATATCTATATTTGAGCCATTATTTTGGTTGAAAGCTTTATCAATGATTAGCTATTTCTGGCTGATTTTAGGAAATTTTGTTTGGGAATTTATGTAAAAAACTCCACTATAACTTACATTTCCTTGCCATTCTTTTAGTTATTGTTTAAATTAAGAGTTTAAGTATTACCAAAGAATATGGATGCTTATAAACGTCTATATTCTTTGGTATTATTGCAATTTTTGACCCCCCTCCGCCCATGTTACAGTAACACACTGTAACATTTTACAAGACTCCCTCCCCTATCTAAACATTACCATTTTTAGTGACCATTTTTACCTAAAGGTAACAATTATTTTGGGGAAATGTATTGGAAAGTCATTAAAATAACTTTATCGTTTTTAATCGATTTTGTAGTAATAATAAATAAACCAAGACATTTCTAATTTGCAATAATAAAGTTTTACTGCTAATCTTACAATTTTTTACATTTTCCTTACTCCATCCTTACATACATTTCTGGTTTCAAATATTTTGTGCGGGCTGCTTCAATTCTGCACTTGATTTCTTTACTTGTGTCCAGTTGGTCTGCAATATAGCATCCCAAATATTTAAAGTTAGTAACTCTCCAAATATTGTGTTGATGTATCTGTAGGAAGTATTGTCGTGAGGTTGGTGATTGAAATCATAAATTTTGTTCTAGATATATTTATACCCATCTCTCTTCCTGTTGCATTTACACAATCAACAACTCTTGAATGCCCTGGAGACTATCACATTAGGATAACAGTGTCATAAGCGTATCTAAGATTATTAATCAGTTCACCACTAATTTTCTGCCAAGACCTGTTTGAAAATGATATCCAAATAAATATTAAATAACAGTGGGAATAGAATGCATCCCTACCTGATTGCTCTTAGAAATGTAACATTCATTGATTAATCTCCCATTGACTCATACAACTGCTTTCAATAAAAGTTTTCTATGATACTTAGATCTCTACCATCAATGACTTTGGTTTTTAATATGTTCAAAAGTGTTCCAGGGTTCATCCTAGCCGAGGCTCTTTCGTAATGGATGAAAGTCACATAAATATCAAATATCTTTAATGAGGCCAAAAAGTGTCTCATGGGTACCCAGCACATTCCTAAATCAAAACTGGGTTTCACCTAGGGGTATTTCGTAATGAATAATGCAAAGAATTTTTTTTATGTGTAGCTCATTAGACTAATTAATCTGTATTTGTCGCATCTTTTTGCACACCATTTTTTCGGAATTGCTATAAAAACAGACCTTAACCATTTTCTCAGTTATTTGAACCAATAGTATATATGCATAATTAAAAAGCTTAATAGAGTATTGCTGTGACCCGCTTAAATTATTTTTAAGGGTTTCAGCTGGTATGTTATCTGCTCCAGCTGCTTTTCTTAGTTGTGACTGATTTTATTACATGAAAGAAATTCCAGATTTTAAAATTTCAGGTCTTTGATTTACATTACTCTGTTTGTTTGGCCAGTCATCTTGGAACAATTCAGTTATATAATTATTTTATGTCTCAAATATTTCTTTTTTTATCAATCACAACCTTTTGTGCATGATATGATCACTAAGGTATTAGTGATTTTCTTATTATATGGGCCAGGAAACTTCACGACCTTTCTGTGTGCTGCAAGCTGAACATGTCATGTTTCTTTTATAATTCTTAACTTTCTGAAGCCACAATTGTAAAATTCTTTTCTATTTTACTTTTGTTGACATTTGAAATAGTAAATTATATTTGTTTAAGCCTAACTCTTGCAGCAACAACTAAAGGGTTGTGATTAGATCCAATATCTGCTCCAGGATATGTCTTAACTCTACTGATGGACGTTCCTAAATCTTTTGTTGATAAATAGAAGAAAGAGGTGGGTATTTAAAAAAACAATTCAATTGGAGTTACTTCTCCTCTATCCATATATTTGTCAGTCATTCAGATTCTTTCAATACTGGCATCTGGAGAGCAGATGAAAGAGGGTTTCAAAATTATTAAACCACTTGCTCCAACTTCGTCTTCATCGAGCCAATGGTCATTTTCAGACGTTTCATTGTAGTGCACAATGCAGAGAAGCCCACTTTCTCTTTTGGCAGCAAGTTGCTGTCGGATGCACTATTGTGGGATGTGAAATAGATCCTAGGGATGGACAAAACAAATCATAGGGCACCTGCTTAAATCCTTTCAGCGGATATGACAGATCAACTGACAACCTCACAAGAAGTGGTGAAAACTTACTTGATCCTTTATCTGACTGACTATTAATTAGTCAGTCATTAAAAGTCAATAGTCAAAATTAGGAGCCATTGGTATAGCTGGCAAATGGCTTGATTGGTATGATAGTTTTCTTGTGGGAACACCCAGAGCATTAAGATAAATGGTGTGTTGTCTCAATCTGTTGACGTCCTCTCTGGAGTACCACAGGGGTCACATTGTGGTCCTCTACTTTTTGTCCTCTTTGTTAACGATGTTGAGAAAGTTATTAAGTATTCAAAAATTTCTCAACTTTGCTGATGATACAAAAAATTTATAAAGTCATTACTTGTCAATATGATCAAATTTAGCTGCAAGAAGATCTCAGCAGATTTAGCGTATTGGTGCAAACTAAATGAATTAAAATTGAACAATGATAAGTGTTTGTGTTATTACTTTTCACAGGAAGCAAACAATTTTAAATTACGATTATAGCATTGATAACACTCACCTGTCTAGGCAGGACTGTGTTAAGGATTTAGGTGTTTATTTTGATTGTAAATTAGCATTTCTTAAGCACCGTAAGTCACAGTAAACAGTGCATTTAAACAATTGGGTTTATAACTAGAAACACTTCTCAATTTTCATGTTTTGTTTTACCAATTCTTTTTAATAGTCTCATTCGCTTCAGATGCAATAGTTGTATGGGGACCTTACTATCAAACATCTATAGACAAGCTTGATCGTGTTCAGCATAAATTTAGTAAACACTATCATTACTGCCATGCTTTTCATGACCTCTCTGTCCCATACAATTATAGTATGATAGCTGATCACTTGAAAATGGTTTCTATGAATCAGCAAAAAGATTATTTTTGCCCAATATTCCTTTACAAAATTGCTAATAATTTGATAAATTGCCCTGAACTTTTAAATAGATTAGGTCTTAACACTCTTCATGGAACTAGGCATACTTCATTATTTCATCTACCATTTCATCAATTTAATTGTGAATACTTCAAGCCTCTTACTCATATGGTGAGACTATGTAATAGGTACCAAAGTGATCTGGACTTATTTTTCCAGTCCTTAAAACAATTTAAAAATGTGATAAAAAGACTGCTATTTGTGTGATATTAGTTTGTATTCAAGTTAATTATTAGTTTTTGTTAAACTTTACTAATTATTTTCCAATGTTATGCCTACTTTGTAAAATTTTATATATTATATTTTGTTCCAATGTAAATGGTATATCCGTTAATAAATAAATAAATAAAATAAATAGACTAGGCACCACGACCTTACTCGGGATTTGAAGGATTCGGTAGGTTGGCTGCAGGAAATCTGGAAAGACAGATTTCAATGCACTCCTCAAGCGGAAACATCAGATTTCATCCACACATTTAATCACTTGCAAGAAATATTGCGATTTATGGATGTGAGTGCTATACCATGCCAGATTAGGTTCTACTGGATCCTGCAAGCTATCTTCAGGTTTTCTATATTCCACTGAAACATCGTAGTTGTCAAGTTTTTTTTTTTTAACTTTTGATGGCATTACAGTATGAATTCGATTTAATAACTCTCATTACAACAAGTTTCATTGTTAAAAAAAAAACAATTTTACATAATGCTTTGTTTGAATCTCTTTCCCTGCCCTGTACGGTTTTATAAGACCTCATTCCCCCTAATTTCATTATGTAATACTTGAATGCCCCTTATAAACTTTAGTAAAATAAAATTTAAACTTCAAGTAAAATAAAAATCTATAGTTTACATAGGTAATATTTTTATCACATTTTCTAAGATTGTATTGGTATATGTTTTATTTTGTAGGTGTCAGTACTTCAAGGACATGTACCCCCAGTCCTCTATACCGCCAGCTGTTAATACCGCAGGTTGGCCAACTTGATTCTGCTTTAATAAATGATCTAGAAGTAGAGGCGCACAGAATGGCAACATCTGTAGATAGTTTGATTGAAAATTTATGTGAAATTCTACATTCCATCTCTTCAATAACTGCTGACAATGTTGATGTATACAAAAATGCTGTTTCCAAAATGTCTGATGCCATGGATGGTAATATTAAGAGTATGTACACAATGATGGCCAAAGCTGAAGAAGTGACACAATCTATGAAGATTGTGGAAGGCTTGTCCATTCGTATTAAGGAAATAAAGAGATTAGTTGATTTGTTTGAGAGTTTTGTATAAACTGTGATATAATTTATATGGTTATTTATGTATTATACTATTTTATTTATTGCTTCAATGAAGCTGGGATAGTGTGTAAGGCAGATTCTGAATTATGTAATTTGCAATTAAATAAAAATAATTCATCCTACAATCAACTAAAAAGATGAGATAATACATTTGACATAATAATATAAATTGAAGAATTTCCGTATGTATTTATAACATTGTAGCTTTCTGAAAAAATTCATTTAGTCTAAAAATCTATCAGAACAATTTGGCATTTAATTTATAGTACTGCTGTATGCCTGCTTTAGATTAAACTTTTAACTATTGATATTTTTATTTGATATAAACATTGGCATTTGGTTGAAGATATATGTACTAATAGAGTTAGAAGTTCATAAATAATATTATGTACTGAAGAAAAACTTTAAAATGAGCACCATTTTAGATCATACATTTTAGGCAGACTTATGACTGCTTTGGCCATATTTGGTGTACATCAGTACCATTCTCTCAGCTTGCGCAGACATGATATTCTATGTCTCTCTATTCTGCATAATTAGTTGGAGCAAGTTGTATCTACCTCTACGTCTAATATCTCCAAGAGATATTCCAATTTGCTTGTTTTCATCATGGTGCTTAAAGTGCTTTACCTTAAAGACCTTCACCTTCTGAAGCTTTCTGTACCATTCTGCCCTGCACCACATTCTACAGTTCAAAGTTATATCAACGTCTCCATATTTCGTTCTCACAGACTGCTCCAAATATCTTGCATAACACCTTTCTTTCAAAAAATTGATTCTGTTTTGGTTATGGTCCATGCCTCTGATCCATGCGCAATCCATTAAGGTGAAAACGAAATCACTAAAGTATTTTTACCCGGTACTCCTCCAATTATATCATATATGTTATTAAAAAGAAGATTTTAGAACTGCAAAAAGTTAATAAGAACTTTAATTTTGTATGGGTTAAAGCACATATTGGTCTCAAAAATAACGAGCTTATTGATATGCCGAGACAGGAAAAAGAACCGACTAGTGGAGGTCGAAACACTAAAAGCTTTAAAGAAACAATTAACCAGAGAAATAAACACCGAAAAGAAAATGTACTGGAAAGAACTATGTGAAAGCCAGGAAAATAACATCTGCGGAAGAGAATTAGCCGAAGCAGAAATAATAAATCATTATTGAGGAAAAGGCTCAATGGGTGAAAAACATACGGACAGTCTCCTTAGAAAACAGAAATTCAAAACAGTATGGAAATCAGGAAATCTTATCCGTATCCATAAACCCGGGAAAGAAATGGATAAACCTCATAAACTTAAGGCTCGAAAAGAAATATGGACCTGTAGGACCCTCAGAACAGGAAGATCTGGGAAAATCATCAGATTATGAGAAGAAATTGAAATATCGCCATACCTGCAGAATTTGGTGATGGATGATTTCACAGACAGAAGCATTAATGTAACTAAAATACAATGAAAACAATTCATAATAAAATACAATACACAATGAAAACATTTGTAAGAGTGCAACAGAGCTTCGGTGAAAACGTAATAGATATGTCGCGAAAAAAGCTGATTAAAGAACAGCAGTGGTGACAAAAATCATGCCAAATGTAGGAGGCCCATGGGCAGATAGAAAAATAATTCTTATGAAAGTGGCCCGCTCTACCATACTAGAGGCAGCATCAGTATGGCAGCACGTAATGCGTACACAAAATTACAGGAGAAATCTAGAGAAAAGCTCTATTCAAGTTCGTCTGTGCATAAAACACGATTTCGATAGTTGCCTTACAAGTGATAGTAGGGCTGCCATCAAGCAATCACGTATGACATAAGTGAAAACGACAAAGCATACTAGAGGAGTAACCAATGCCAAATGGTAAGAAGGGTGGCAAAACGAACATAGTGCTGAATGGACAAGAACACTCATACCAGACATGAGAGAGTGGGTAGGACGTGACCATATGGAGACTAACTACTTTTCACAGTTCCTCACAAGGTACGGCTCCTTCAAAACCCATTTGGTAAAGATAGGGAAACAAAAAGACGTTGACTGCGAGGTTAACGACAAGAAATAACATTGAGTGTTCAATTACAAAAGACTAAAAAAAAATGCAGAGTATATACAAAATAGTTTTCAGGTCGTAGTGTAAAACATCAAAAATGTCAAACACTCCTTTGAAATCTAAAATATAATGACAGAAATACTCATATAGTACTACCGAAGGGAAGGGAATAACCTGTATGCACGTATTCTTAAGGTCTTAAGTGGATATTTGGACAGCACAAAACAATTTGGTTCGATGAAAGAAAATATTTCTAACTAAATAATACCTATTATATATTCTGCTCAACAAAAAGGAACTAAATATTAATCAGTAATTATTTTGTTTATGTGGCATAAAGAGACAATGAATTGAGAAAAAAAGAGTCAGTCTAAGGTTAATGAGTATTAATTTATTGTGCATATGAATTAAATGTTACAATCTAGTGTTACGTGTGTTCCGATAATCAAATAAAGAGTCTCATATTGTTCAAGGTAATCAATTTTATTGTTTGCTAATTAGTGAATTGTTGAAACTGATTAAATTCACCTACATTAACTCTTGTTTAATCGCAAATTTATAAATTTTTAACTCCTTTTGATTATGCAGGTGCATATAAAAATGAACAAAGACCGACTGTGTATATATGGATGAAACTTATATTCATAATAATCATACTATGGCTACTGGTTGGAATAATGATTCCAATGAAGGATGATCAAAACTTATATAAAAAGGACAAATAATAATAACTGTTCAAGCTGGCAGTGATGCACAATTTATTCTGAATGCTAAACTTTTGAAGTTCAATAAGTACAACAAGAGATTATCACAATAAGATAAATTTTGAAAAACATTGTTGATGTAGGGAAAATAATTCCCATCTTTAAAAGTTTAAGATATTAGTTTGATATTAGTATTTTAATGGCTGATTTAAGTATATTATATTCTTAAACTCAAAAACCAACGTTTAAAACATTCGTAATACATAGATGAAATTTTAACACCAACATGGCCATATAAATTTACGATTACCTCCGTACCATTCAGACTTAAAACCAATTCAGTTAGTTAGTATATATTAAACAATATGACACAAAGAATACATCTTTTAATATTAGAAATGTTCAGCATTGATTTATTTATTTAGAAATCTCCAGAGTATTTGCTGACGATTTTGTACTAATTGCCAAAACTGAAAAAGAACTTCAGAATAATTTGGAAATGGGATTCTCAATCGAACCTCTGAACAGTAAATATATCAGCAATTAGCGATAATTGATATTTAATATTAGCTTGTTAGTTTAAATAAAATAAGGAATTTTTTTTATTCAAATGTAGAATTTTGTTTATATCTAAAATTTAAACAAAGGTGCAGTGTACAAGTGTTATTTCTTCTGAACTAAAAACTGTACGTTTTATTTTCCTATTTCATCTATAAGAAATCAAGAGTAAACAACTATTTTGCCGATTTCTCGTGAGGTTAATTACCAGCCCTTCCAGTAATGATCCATTATAAGCACCAGGGCCGTATTCAGGTTATTTAACCCAAGCATGGAAATGGATTCAGCAGCGGGAACTTTCACCATGGAAAGTTCTGGCAACCTACTTGTAAACCAACCATCAAAATTATATTCTACAGCTCTTAATCAACCTACAAATAAATTTCCAAACAAAAAACAAGCAATTCTACTTCACTCACTCCCAAACTCTAATATTGAAGTTTACCTTAATGCAGTAACTTCTAAAGTGGATCCCAGAAAAATACATTCTATTTCTAAAATTATAAATGATCATATTTATATCTTCTTTACCAGTGATCAGACAGTCGATGAGTTTCTAGCAAAAATGGAATTGTAGTAATTAATCAAGAACGTATTCAAGCCCGAAGACTAATAACTAAATGAACGATTGATTATTTCCAATGTATGTTCAAGTATTCCACACAGCGTTATAAAAGAACAACTGAATAACTTAAGTATACATCTAATAACTCCAATTGACTTTCTCAGGATAGGGACTTCAAATCCAGCATTCAAGCATATCTTGAGTTTCCGAGATAAACTTTTATAGAAAATCCACAAGGAAAAATTCCTGTAGCTGGCTGTATACCACGTATAACAAAAAGAGGTCAATCTTTGTAAATGGGTATATATATATATATATATATATATATATATATATATATATATATATATATTTATATATATTTATATATATACCCATTTACAAAGATTAAACTTTTATAGCGCCAACTAACTTAGACAAACTACCTGATTGTATGTTAATTAACCATGAGGATAACAACTATCGAATTTTCGTTTCCATCGAAAAGCAATCTTGCTACTGCTACTTATGCAAGCATCAAGGACATTTAGCATCTCAGTGTTCCAATAAAAATAATCAGACTCCTTCAAACTACACCTAAAATAATGTTCATCTAAACTCTCTACAGGAAGTACACCAATCAGCTCCCTTTTCGACAATTTCTTCTATACAATCTTCTCCTACTGAGACTGGAACTATCCTGTCTTACTGAGGCTGAAATGTCTAGAAAAATCATTACCTCTCAATCTAATAAGCATACTCCGATAAGCTGCGACCTACCCAATGAGACTGAAATGGATACCTATGATCAAGATACATCCTCATCCTAGCACCCTAAACGAAACCTATCTGAAATAATCCTAATCAAGAGAGCATATATTATTGCCGCCTATGAACAGTGTCGACGAACGGTTGGACGCACCTGGGGCCTTACGCCCAGGGTGATCGCCTGGGTCTACACCGCTGTCATTAGGCCAATGCTAACGTACGGAGCTGTTGCTTGGGTACCAAAAGTTCTACAGGCAACAGCGATTAACAAACTAAACCATATTCAGCGGATGGCTTGCATAAATATAACAGGTGCCATGAAAACAACTAAACTGCTGCAATGGAGTTGATCATTGGCATCACGCCTCTAGATATATATGTCGAAGAGGTGGCTCTAGTGACAATGATGCGACTGCGCTCAGCTGGTACAAACCTTGATGTAGGAATGGGACAATTGAGAACTCGTTTCTGGCGGGGAGAGCTGGATGCGTTACCAGTACTACAGGCAGGCTGCGACTCAATTGAACCAAAGTTCGTCTTTAACAAACCCTACAAAATTGAAACAAGACAGTGTATGGAGACAAACGTGGCAAATGCCTATTGCATATACACCGATGGCTCCAAAATGAAAGAAGGCTCAGGATGCGGGATATACTCCAGTTCACTGAACCTAAGAATA